GCAGAATTGGAGGAAATATTGGAGGAAGATTCATCTCAAACACAAAAGGAACTTGCACTTAATTTAGAAGTCACTCAGCAAGCAGTCTCACATCGTTTAAAATCGTTAGGAATGGTTCGCCATTGTCGTCGTCGTCGTGGACCTTGCACAGAATAGAACATCGTTAAATGCGTCCCTTTGACGTCAACATCAAGTAATTATCCTGATGTTCAAGGCACTTTTCGTATAAAAGTTTTCGACAATTGGGCATATGCATCTTTTTCGGCTTCCAACCTCGTTCCTCCCACTATATTTTTCAAATATTACGTATATCCTTTATATCCTTTGCCAAAATATTCGTATTCTAATTAGATATATTATTATCTTATAAACGTACGAAACACTATATATCATTCGAACGTACTATTAATTTACTGTGCAACTTTCTTTTTTTTTTTAGATCGTTCAAGATACACAACGTTTCCATCAAATTTAATTTCCTTTTAATCTCATATGTAGACATAGGAAATAATAGATAAGACATGGAAAGATAAACAAGTTCGTTAACATAGAAGAAAATTTTATCAAATGATCTAATGTCACAAACAAACGTTTAATACTACATACACTAATAGATGATTTTAGATGCAACGTGTTATATCATTCATGTATATTCGGAACGATAAAATATCTATAGTAAGATTTAAGCGACCTCGTCTACGCATTTGGCTACGTTACTATATTATGTTTTGTTATAATAATAAGTCTGAAGAATAATCTATGATTATTAATATCAAATTTCTATCACCGTTAGATTAATGACGAATGCATTTTATCATAGTAAGGCAATTCAAATAAAAGTACGTGGAGGTTAAGTTTGTTAATTGTTATTACAACCTGTTAATAATAATAATAATCACTTTCGTAAAATGCTTTGGCTTAATTTATTATCTAGTGTATAATTAATAAGTACTTGAACGCATGAACGAAAAGTTCATAAGCTTGCAAATAGAAAACAATGCTTGTTACATAATGGCTACTGTACGTATAACATAAAAGGTAATATATATACGTATATATATGTGTATGCCGAATCAATACTATAGGAAAATACTGTTGTCGAAATAATGAGTTAAAGAAATGTTATTTAACATAAAATATCTATGGAATCTTTTCATTTTTTTTTTTAAATGCAATCAAGAATAATATACATGCATACATATGTATGTACATATATTGCTGACGCAGCGTTGTGACGTTGAGTCTCGTGTTATATTAGATTGAATGACAACCTTGATATTAAAAGTGTAGACAGTATCTCATATAACTGTACTTCGTATACGATTTCAACCATGGTCAATGCACCTGAATTCGACTATTATTTCACGTAGAATTGCATGAAGATAATTGAAATAAAAATTAATACAAATTGTAATTAAATAGTGCTACCAATGTTGATCGATTTATTATTATAATTCTGTTTCTTTTTTTCATTTGATTATATGTTTCGTGACGACGATTTGAACGTTGAATAAAAATATACGTATGTACATGTACAAATTTGTTTGATGAAATATTTAATACTAAGGATTAAAACATATAACGTACACGACAGAATTTTAATGCCATGGCCATTTCTCGATATCGTCATAAAAAACAAACAAGAATTAATTTCGCCAAATTGTATTAGTGAAATTACTAAAATAGAAATAAATGATTTTTTTTATTATTTATTAACAATCGTAATTAAAGATTTTCGTAATTATCGTGAAGATTAACTACTAAGATTAAAGTAAATCAATTAGATTTAAGAATGATAATGATGTAGATGGCGCCAATGATAAATTTAGGTTCTAACTAGATATAGTTCCAATAATTGACAAAGACTCTACATTATCGACAGTTAAACTTAAATATTTCCTCTTACTAACATTGATTGAATTTTTACATTACTACGTCAATAGATAGAAAGGATAATGATTCTAATGCAATAATTAAATAATGATTCAATTTTATGCTACTTACATATGCATAGGAAAGAATTTTTGGAACTAGAAATTGTTCATAATTTTTCAACTTCCGGCGACACAAACGCCAAATATACCGACTAGTTGTAACTATATTTATATCGTGGTTGGTAGCTATTGGATGATTCTTTAGCAAAGTACTAAATTGTAATTATTGGTTGTAATTATCTAATATTTGACGTTTCAATCAAAACATAACTTAACCTTATTCTTGCATTGTTACTTTATAGATAAGTATTGCTTATTTGTGTAAGTAATGACGAATTCCCGATGCATTTCCGAATGCATTTTATTTGATTAGTAAAAATGTGTTGAAATATATATATTTATAGTATCGTACTTATGTGATATGTGTTACATATAGATATATAGATATGGTTGTCATATATGACACAGTAATATATGAGAAATTTTACGATTTTTAACATTTTAAATAGAAGTTTGATTTTATTTTTATAAATATAATCATTGGAGAAAGTCATATATTTTATTTTATTATTTGTTAGCTCTGTTTTAATATTTTATACGTAAAAATGAAATAATGTCAATTGCAACTCAAATAAAGTGTATATAGTGCATATATTAATGAGACAGTATAAGCAACGTATATAGATAATTTAATAATTGTTTTAGTTATTAAAATGCAGTGTACTCATGGTATAACAATATACTGTATAAATGTTACCTGAAAGTGAAAAGAATATAGACAACATGATAGAAGGTAAATTGAATTTACTATGAACTCCTATTATATCAGTATATATAGAAAATATAATGCATTAAACTCATATCAGACAATATCATACTTATAGGAGGAGATACACAATCCAGTGCAACAAATGAACCACATACTGGTAAGTTTTAATTTTATCAGTACTTTATACATATAAGTTTTTCCTTAAAACTATATTTATGTGAAGTCATGTGTCAAGCTCGATATAATTAAGTTAGTGTTCATTGTAGGCATCTGTTACGTTACAGAATGGGGCTTCATCTCTTACCTTTTTCTATCATATTGAATTGTTGGTTGTTAAATTCAAAGACATTCCGTTCCCAATAGTAGAATGCATACAATTAGACATAACATTCATTAACTTTAAATGTCGACATTTTTACATACAAAGTTTAAATAGTTATTATTAAAGTGAATATATAGAATTTATCAATATTTGAAATTTCATTGTTCTTAGAATCTTCGGAGTCTAGAATTGTACATAGTGAAGGATTACATGAAGGTACATCTATATCGATATCCCAAACTAATCCTGAAACTGGTCAGGAACTACTTACGGTTCATGGAGCAACGCAAGGAGAGAGTAGTGATGCAGTTAGTATTCATACTGCTAGTACCTCAGCCTCTGGCAATGGTAAGTCTTTTGCATTGATATTTATATTGTTAAACATTGTTATAAAAAACAAATGTTAAACTGTTTTTTAGAATCCAGTTCTAGTAGAGTAAGTGCGATAACAGTTATACTACCTTGGGGTGCTCAAAAAGAAACAGTAAGACCCCAACAAATTGGAGACATGGATTTAAGCCCTGGAGAATTTGTAATGCGTACTTCATTTGCTAAATTCACTGCGCAAGCAGAAAAAAAAATGGAAGCAGTGATGACAGAACATGTATGTATTACTTTTTATGCAATTGGATCTTTTTCTTGTTTTTATTATTAACAATACTGAAATTGTAGGAGAAAGCACTTTCAAAAATATTACAAAGAGGAGAGGACCCACAATTTGATCAGCTTTTATCGGCATTCGGATCAGTTGCAGAACATTGTTTACCTTCTATTTTACGAGCATTATTTAACTGGTATGAAAGACAATTAGGTGATAAAGGTAGTGATCAAAAGAAACCTGCTGCTGGAAAAGAAGATCAAAAAGGCAAAAGGTATTTTCTTATTTAATTGTATTTTTGTTCGAACGTAAGATTAAAAATATATATTATTTCAGTATAATGTATACAATAGTATCAGGAAGTGTAGAAACAGTAGAAAGAAGCGAAGCAGACTTACTTCAAGAGCGCAGAGATCTTGCTGTTGAATTTATATTTTGTTTAATGTTAATTGAAGTATTGCGACAATTGCCATTTCATCCAGGACACGAAGATTTAGTAACATATATTGAAAATATTGCCTTTAAACATTTTAAATATAGAGAAGGGTGAGTATAATCTTATAGAATATTTTTTATATTCATAATTTTTTATATATGAAAATCATTTTTTAATAATATTAATTTTCTAGTATACAAAATGAACCCAATGCTGCGAATATACATATTATTGCTGATCTCTATGCGGAAGTGATTGGAGTTTTAGCACAATCAAGATTTATGTCTGTTAGAAAACGTTTTATGGTAGAATTAAAAGAACTGCGTGCTAAAGAACCTGGACCTCATACTACACAAAGTATTATTTCTTTATTAATGGGAATGAAATTTTTTAGAGTTAAGGTAATTGTTTTGTATATTATATATGTATGCATATAATTGTTATAATATTTAGATAAACATATTGTATATTTCCAGATGGTACCGATAGAAGAATTTGAAGCATCTTTTCAATTTATGCAAGAATGTGCGCAATACTTCCTAGAGGTTAAAGATAAAGATGTAAAACATGCTTTAGCTGGTTTATTTGTTGAAATATTGGTACCAGTTGCTGCTGTAAGTTAAAAACATAAAAAACTTTAATACTATATGTTAAAAATAATTATTGACATATAATGAAATTGTTTAAATTTAGGCTGTTAAAAATGAAGTCAATGTACCATGTTTGAAAAATTTTGTTGAAATGTTATATTCTACGACATTAGATATGTGTACTAAATCTAAACATAGATTGGCATTATTTCCTCTTGTAACATGTTTATTATGCGTTAGTCAAAAAACATTCTTTTTACAAAACTGGCACTATTTTCTGGCTATGTGTCTTTCTCAATTGAAGAATAGAGATCCTAAAATGTGTAGGGTTGCATTAGGTATGTGATCAAATTTATGCGATAAAACTTTAACGCATCATATTATTTGTTTATAAATAATATTATATCATATTTCACAGAGGCTTTATATCGATTACTTTGGGTATATATGATACGAGTTAAATGCGAAAGTAATTCAGCCACACAAAGCAGATTACAAAGTATAGTAAACTCTTTGTTTCCTAAAGGATCCAAAGCAGTAGTACCCAGAGATACACCTTTAAATATATTTGTCAAGATTATACAATTCATTGCACAAGAAAGACTTGATTTTGCAATGAGAGAGATAGTATTTGATTTATTATCTGTGGGTAGGCCAGTCAAAATAATTCTAACACCTGAAAGAATGAGTATCGGGTTACGAGCATTTTTAGTAGTAGCAGATAGTCTTCAACAAAAGGAAGGAGAACCACCTATGCCAAGAACTATGGGTGTATTACCTAGTGGGAATACAGTTCGCGTAAAGAAAACTTTTCTAAACAAGGTAAATATCATATTAGAGAGATGCATTTTATAATTCATTGATATAATTTTATATAAGATATTTACGATTGTTTATAAATTTCAGATGTTAACAGAAGACACAGCTAGGAGTATAGGAATGTCCTCTTATTTTCCACACGTTCGCAGAGTGTTCGTTGACATTTTACGAGCTTTAGATGTTCATTACGGTCGTCCGTTAATGATGACAAGTACCCAGAATATGAATAAAGAACCAGACGAAATGATTACGGGTGAACGTAAGCCTAGAATAGATCTTTTCCGTACGTGTGTCGCTGCAGTGCCTCGTTTGATACCTGATGGAATGACTGGAGCAGAGCTAGTTGACTTATTGTCACGTTTAACCGTACACATGGACGAAGAACTTCGTGGATTAGCATATCAAAGTTTACAGACTTTAGCATTGGATTTTCCCGATTGGAGACAAGATGTTGTTCTAGGATTCACACAATTTCTTGCCAGAGATGTTCAAGATACCTTTCCTCAGCTTGTTGATAATGGCTTAAGAATGTTATTACAACTTCTTACAAGTTGGAAGAATGCATTAATTAGTCCTAATATTAGATTGAAAGAACAAACAGTGGACAATACAAGATCGAATATACGGCCGAACGTAGATACGACTATAAAAAGAAGTGAATCCGGACAAGTAAGAATTACAATATATTATAATTAAAAGATTTAAATGCAATCTTATTAACATTATTTATTTTTAGAAAGTAGAACCAGTATCGTGCGTATTTCATCTGGTAGAAGGATTTGCATTGGTAATGCTTTGCAATTGCCGACTTTATCCTCGACGATTAGCTGTACATATACTACGCGAATTAAAATTCTTATTAAAAATATTAGGTTAGAACAAAATAAATGCTTATCCTCGGTGAAATATATGACGGATTAACGAATGAAACAAAAAATTGATTTTTTTTAATAATTCTAGGAACTTCTGATGACGATCAACCTGTTATTGATGTGATAGATGCTTGTTGTCCAACTGTATTAGAAAAGTGTTATCATATGTTGCCACCAGCAGAGAAAGCAGCCGCTGCATCTACATTTAATATTGATCTTCAATGGATAGCTGATAGAAGTAGTTGTGTGTGGACAGCAGGTATGTGGTTGATTAAATTTTATTTGAATTTTATAGAATATTTATTTTAATGTCATATGAAATTGTAGGGTTTCATGATGAAAATAGCACAAAGAGTTCTTCTTCTTTGAATTTAAATGGAGCTGATCCGTGGGGGACCTGTTTATTTGCATTTTTGGAAAAGGACAGAGTACTTACTCAGTGTTCCAATGCTGTTGCTCATTCTTGGCCTATCGTTTTTACAAGAATAAATTCTTTATTTTCGGTAGTCGATCCTACGTGAGTTAAATCATATTATACTGTTATATGCTTTTATATTTTAATTTGTGAAAATAACACTCGGTTTTTCCTTTTTTTTTTTAGACCTGTCAATGATAACAGAGCTTCTCTTCTACGAAGTTCTACTGCAGTACGGAAGCCAGTAAACGAGCGAGATGTTTACATGCACGTTTGGAAAAATTATTTGACTTTTGGATATAGAGTTGTACCACCTGTTCCAAGTCCTGTTGTTCGCTGTGCCAGCCCAGATCTTAGTCTCAGGTAAATTAATGTATTTATATTTAATTAAAGCATTTTATAATTACTTTATTATATCATATGATAATGTTGCATATATTATATTTATGTTGATGAAAAGTTGGGGGTGGATTTATATATATTTATAAATATATATATACAACGGTTAGGATTATACAATTATTATTAAATATTAATATTTACGTAGATTTCTTATTCGATAATATGAAATAATATTTAGATGATTAATTTATATAAATTAATAATGATATTCAGATTTAACTTGTACGGTTCTTACGGTATACGGTTGTTTACAAAGTTGCTTTATGTGTAGTTATTAAAGGAAGAAATATGAATTGAAAATTATTATTAATTGGTATCAATTGGTGTTGGATAATGTCTGCTTATGTCTGTTGTGAAATGGAAATTATCTTCATTAATTCTATCTTCTTTATACTTTTTTTTGTATATTTCTCTTGTCAAGATTATATCACATTGTCGATTAGCCACCTTTCTTCTTCTCTGGCACGTATATCAATCCTAATCTTTTTTATGTCCGTTGCAACTTAAAAAACTTGAAGAGGTATTTTCTTGAACTATAACATGCTAATGATAACATGCACGTTCACTGAAATCCTGTTAAAGCACCAGGTAGCAATAATTAACTTTTTATCAAAACTAGCACCAATTTGTACCAATGTGCGCTTGCATTCGGGAACGAGGGTTAAAAATTTTGGCATATACATATATACATATTCTTACATGCGCACATTGCTTTATTTTTTCTGCAACAAAGTTACACTTTGCATGTTATCTGTTATTGTTTCATACATGTATGTACACTTCTGGGACTTAGAATAGTAGTTTCTGAGCAGTAAATAACATTTGATACAAGGAGCATTGGTGGTACACTGTATTGCATACTCTAGTGGTCAGCATACGGTGGAGTTTGGTGTGTTGTGCATGAGTAAGGAGTTGAGTCAGAGCCTGGAGAACCTCGGCGGGGTGCAGACCCTGCCGGGCCGGTTCTCCGTTCCGTCCATTTCCGGCATCTACATCAGGCATAAGCGGACCAGGTGAGCTTAATTTGAATCAGCCGTAAACGACCATTTTTAGATGTCACTCAGAATTAAACGGTCATTGGCAATTTGCACCACATTTTAACCCAGAATATTTACTTATAAGGCACAATATCCGTAAGCTTTATAAGAGTTTCAGCTTCAAGCAGGATTCTACTTAACCAGTCAGTCAGTCAGTCAGTCACTATACTTTTTCGCGACATAAGCACTGTCCGTATCTAGTCTGATGACCGTTCCCGATCGCAGTTATCGTTAATTCGCGTTAAATTCCATTCGTTAGTTCATATCATCCGTACATTTTCTGTCTGTGTATAAAAGATCAATGATTTATTGATATAAAAAAAGGAATTATAATAAGATCATTCTCACAGCTCATCGCCGGATAGTCTTTCTGCTGAAAGAGGTGATAACAAGTCGCCTGGAACTAACGCGAGCCCCGCGGCTCTGTACAAATTGACAGTACCTCTTTTGAGATGCGAGGCAATCGATGTTAGAGATGCAGCTGTACAGGCCATCGGTAAAGTAAACGCCGATGCTTTGAAGTGAGTTTATTGTTATTTTAGGTTTTTAATAATTCGCGTTTATATAAAAAGCGGTTTGAATATTGATTTCATATTTTTATTTATCATTATTGTTATTTAGAGATTTGATGGAAGAATTAGTTCCTTATATACGCGAGGCTGTTGATCGCAAACAAGAAAATATGAGACGTAGAAGACGAAGAGATGCTCTCAGATTGCAATTAGTTCGCGTTTTGGAATTGATCGCCGAATATGGAACATTTGGAATCTGGTTCGTTAGAAAATATTTATCTTTCCTCGGGACAACGTCGTCGTTGTAATAAACTTCAAAGGAGATTTTTCTTTTTTGATATTAATAATCCTAAATATCTTTTCAGTCCAGCCGTATTAGATCGCGAGACACAATCTCTTCATCCAACATTCGTCGAGTATATAGACGGTGCGCGTATTTATTTAGAAAATGAAACTGACAAAGAAGCTCCCGCAGTCAGGGATATAAAATTACACTTTTGTAACTTTATAAGAAAGATGATAGAAAGTTTTTCACGTGAGTAATCAAGTATTTGAATCAACAAATTTCCAAAAGTATATTATATATATACTTTTAATATATATAATATATATATATATTAATATAATAATAAAATATAATAAATATTTTCATATATTTCGTTTTCTTTCGATTGTGTCTTTTCAGTGGAAACCTGTCACAGTTTATTGAAGAGGGATTTAAGACGAAATTTATTTATGCTCTTTGCTAGTTGGGCTGGACCCTATGGTAGACCTCTAACAAGTGTATCATCTTTGCACGAAGAAGAAAAGACATGTACGGAATTACAATTTTCGGCACTACAAGCCATGAGTGGTTTATTATGTTGCGGACCGTGTTTCAATCCGCAGTCTCTTTCCGAGGAGGGTGCAATATTATACCAATGGCTAGATTTATTATTAGCTAGTAAGGATGAAAAGGTAAGTAACTTTTAAAATGATATTTCATTATTTACGATCCTTTGATATTTGGTGATACTTATCTTTTTGTTCTTTTTTTTTTTTTTTTATATTACAAATGTACTTTAGATTTATGCTCTGGCACGCGAAACAGTTGTTTTATTATTGGAAGGAAATCCTGATATTGGTGCACTTCTTGATTGGGTAGTTGATAGATGCTACACAGGCGCTCCCCACGTTGCTGATGGTTGTTTTCTTGCATTAGCAACAATATTTAGTGCAAGGTTGGTTTTATTTTTTATTAAATTACAAAATATTAATAGAGATCTCAACGATTCGTTAAATAGAGATTTTTAATACAATTTAAACACAATAACTAGAAGAATATACTATAGAGTATATAATACAATACGTACATATAATATATATACACACACGCACACACACGTAGATATATATATATTAAATATATATAATATTTTTGAAATAGAAGAGCGATCATTAATTATTACTTTTGAAAATATATTGGAGATATTACAAACGACATTTTAATAGTAATTATAATAGAACAGAAAAACTTCTATTTATGCGAATTATATATTCCCAAATGATGTGAATATTGCATAGGCTTAAGAAAATTCGTATCGTGTGTTAATATAGGGAATATCCTTGCGATCATTATACAAGTATCATTAACGTAACATTAATGAATACTGGTTGTCCACGTGCACCTGTTCACGATGAAGCTCTTCAACTTCTTCAGCTCTTAGATCAAAGATTTTTTGGAAACGTGGGACCATTGCCAGCCACAGAACCGGAAACTGGTACGTACAATTTTTATCTTTCGTTATTTTAATTACATGTTTTTTGTTTGTTTGTTTTGTTTTTGTTCAGTCTTTATCCTTTTCCACATCTTCTTTAAATTCTTTAGAAAATATTTGTAATTCGTAATGAGTGTTCAATGATTTATTGAGTGTAGTTGTCTGCTGACGGATCATTGAATTATTATTAGGAATTAATTCTGAAATTGACGATTTATTTATTTATTCTTTTATATAGTATATCAGCAGATGTATTTAAAAAACTTTTGGGAAATATTTCAAAATGAATATTATATATTTACCATTATTGCCACGATTAGAAATTTGTCCGGTTGTATCATTATTTCTGCGTGATTTACAAGAAAACATGCGTATCATAGCTCTGCGAAAATTTTGTCCAGTTGCGCAATAAAGAATAAAATTTATTCCGAAATTTGTATTAAATAGCATATTGCACACTGGCTGCATTATTTCTAACAATCGCGGTGGATTGTTGTCCGGCTGAAAATAGAACATATAATTGGATTTAATACTTAATCATGAAATATCTAGATTTAATTAATTCGGTATATATCTTAATTATCAGTTAATAATATTATTTGAATAAAAAAAAAAAAGTAATCAATGAAAATATACTCGTAATATAAACTCGTGAAAATTTTCGAAAATTTGTCGTAAATATTTCAAATAACTATTAACGAAATAAAAATATAAATATCTTTTTTCAACCGGATACACACATATATATAAGTATACTAGATTATTACGGAAGATATTAACGGAAATAAAAAAAAAAAATAAATGATAATCAAATAGAAAAATGAATGAAGAGTTGATTTTCGCGTGATGCATGAATATATGAAGAAATAAAACAAATAATCTAGAAATACGTACGTATAGAAAAGCATAAGCTCTGATACCGTAGGCTGGAAGATTGAGACAGAGAAAAATAGTAGATACTGTTAAGAGCATTTTTGTTATTTTACTTTGAGCTAAGGTGGTATTATTTCGTGGACTTTGCGAGCAAGACATTTGTTCCTGCGAATTCCTCGATTCGTATGTCAGTGTTCTTCTAACTCTTGCGAGTTTGTAAATGGCACGTGCGATCAGTATATTTAATACTACGATCAATGTAAATGGTAAGACGAAAGTTAATATAGCGTCTATCGAATTGAAAATGGTCGATGATAATTCCAAACCTTCGGCGACCAGACAACGAGTTACATTTTTGTTATTCGACATGCTCAAACGTGGACCCGAAACTAATAATACCGGACTGCACAATATTATTCCGAGAATAGTCAATCCTATGACTACTTTTTTTGCTCTAGCAACTGTGCACATAGATTGACGAAGAAACGGATATTGAACTGCAATACATCTTTCTACTGTGAAGGCAACGACAAACCATACGCTTAAAAAGCTGCATACTGTTGTAAAATATATGAAGAATTGACACAATCCTTGCATATTAAAAATACCAATATCCACCATATCCAGCCATACTACGAATAATGATATTAAAAATCCAGTATCGCTTATGGCCAATGCACCTAAATAAATGCTCGATGAGATTTGACGTAATTTTGTACCAAAGAACACGTATACCGAAAGACAGTTTCCAAATGAACCGAAATATACCAATATAGGTGTGTAATACAATTGTATTCCTCTTAAAATTTCTTCGGTCAGTTTGGGTGATGATACACCACCACCCTCTTCCTTTATCTCTGTCATTATTTATCTTTCCTTGATAAATTTCAAGAGATATTATCTCCTTTGATTTAATATCCAAATTGGTTTGACGACTATAATCAGTCTTTTGAAAATTTTCTTTAAGATTTTCATTGCTCGTAATAATCGTTTTATCAGAGAGCATTAACGTATTTTTCATCCCATATTTTTCTTAATTATTTAATAATAGGTTTATTTTACCTGCATCATGTAATAGAAAAAGAAAAAAGAACGTTCAATGGAAACGTTTTTATCTCTTGCGAATTTTTAATTCATAATTTTTCTTTTTTTTCAATTCAAAGTTATCAGAAGTTTTTCTATATTTTCATATCTCTTTGATAAAGTAAAATGAAATGGTCAGAGAATTATATCGATCTATTTTTAAAATAAATCGATAGTTTCGAAATTTATTTGTCAATCGAAATGTTGCTCTTCTTCTCCAATAAAATAATATTGCTTTTCTTTTTTCGTATATATAATCAAAAAAAGTAAACGAATTAGTGTTTACGTTAGCTCAGAGAAATCGTAGTAATTTTTTGGCACGTATATCACTTATTTATTAACAAGAGTAACAAGGTTAAAATCGATTTTATGTTTTATCGATGATGATCGAACTTTTATAGTTGATACAAAATGTTAAGCATCAAAGTAAACACTAAACTTTGATCGATCATTCTCTTTTGAATTTTTTACCCTTTTCTTTTCTTTTCTTTTCTTTTTTGTCACCCCACTTTTTACTTATACCACGTTAGTGTATTTCTCAGGAGACTGTGTAACACACTTATTGTCGGTTTGAAGTATAGACAAACGAGAAAAGCTTTTTGGAACATACCCAAGTTTTTTTAGACATCGATGAGACGAGCATACAACTTCACATCGACCCTTACGAATATTGGCAACGTTTACACCCACGTAACTTTTAATTTATTACATCGTAAAATGAAAGAAAAAAACCAAAAAAAAAAAATAAGTTGTATTTTTTTATTTCGTTTCGTTACGATATTTTATTTATAATGTATTTCATCGAGGTTTTAATTCGTTGAGAAAAGTTCACGAAAAAACCAATAAATAAAAAAAAGGAAAAAGAAGAAAAAAAAAATTGAAAATTGTAACTCATTCGCGCGAGCACACACATAGAATAGTAATTATAATATATATATAAAAGTTCGTGATTTATATAAAAGACAATATATATAAATAATAAAGGTGCAACAACTCGTATTCACTTTTTTCACATAATCACATATAACAGTCATTATCGTAAAGTATTATTTTTCAAATGTATTCTCACATTAAATAAATCATTTTTAATTCACCATTTATCTCAACAAAGACATTAAACATATATTTTCTTTTCTTTTTTACAAAAGAAAAAAACAATAAGAAATAAAAGCAAGCGGCGCACGCGACACGTGGAAAATCATCGGGTAGAAATTTAAATTGAAATTCTTGAAAACAATTTTGTTTCAATTAATTATATACGATACTTCATATATATATTAAAAACACTATTTTTTGGAAAATCATTTGGTAGAAATTTAAATTAAAATTCTTTTTGTGGGAACAATTTTTTTTCAAATAACTATACTTTATGTATATTAATAACACTATTCACAATTATTGCGAACAAATGTAACACGATTGTAAAAGTTCGGGTGAAATTGAACGTTTAAAATTTCTTTCGATCGTCTATACCAACAATGTTCTTTCATAAACGGCAAAACGTTTAACAGGACGACGCTCCATCTATTTCTGCTTCGCTTTGCTACAATTCATTCTTGATAAAGCTTCCGATGCATCCAACCAACATTCTCGCTTCTGCGCATCATCCCATCGGGACCAATTTTCTCTTTTGGTTTCTCTAAACTTATTTTTTTTTCTGCTATACTTCAAATCATTTCTATAAATTATTTTTTCTTCTTTTTATTCTTAATTTTTTCGATCTATTTAAGCATCGATTTTGTTGTCTTATCGATAGATCAATTTTAACGATACACACGTGACAAATATTAATTATTATAATTCTCTTTCTCCATTTTAAAATTGTTGTATATATAATAATATTCTAACAATAAGTTGTTATCATTCTATGAATATAAAATATATATTTAGATATAACAAAGATATTAGTATTTCATGTAACATTCGTATTACGTAATTTTATGACTTAACGAGAAATTATATAATTTATTGGTAATTTCATTTTACTGTAGTTTAATTAAATAATATTGAAAAGAGAAGTATTCGTTTTTAATGTGATTAATTACTCAAGATTATTACTTATTCCATTTTTATAAAATCATTTATTTCTCTTTTCCAAGTTCTTTTTATTTTTATTCTTATAAAACTCGGTAATATATTTCATTATTAATTAGATATTTATTCTTTTTATATTGCATACACGCGTGCATATTTTATTTACCAAGTATATCATTTCACTTTTTTAACAGACACAAAGTATCATTCATTTACGAATATATTATGTCGAGAGATAGTTTTTAATAAGTTACATTTTTCTTTTTTCTTTTTTTATTGAAGATACTATTTTTTCTCATAATTTTTCAGAACAATTATCATTCATACGTGTACAAGTATGTAATAATAGATGGTGACATTGAAATCGTATTATAATTTTTGTTTAAATTCATTTATAAAATTATTATAAATGAATTTTTTCATGAGATATTTTTTACGTATCATTTTACTATAGTTCCTTTAAAAAGCTACGAATAAAACATTTCTTTTTTGTTTTTTTTTTTGTTTTTTTTGTTTTTATAGGTCAGGAAGATTTAGCCGGAAGTTCGACAGCTACCGCTTCAGGTGCAATTCAACAATCAAATCCTACGGCAGGTGTATCATCAAGTGGAACTATTAGAGGTGGTACCCTCGATGTTTTACTTTCAACAACTTATTGTCGCAGTCAAATGTATTTATCACGTCAACTTGCTCAATTACATCCAGAATTGACGATGCCTATGTTCAGCGGTGAGTATTATTATTATTTATTAACGCATAAATAACAATACTTTTTTGATATACATTAAATATAATATCAAATGCATTTTGATGAAACAAAAACAGATTAGAGAAAATTGATTTTTATATATACTTGAATATATATTTCAAATGTAATTGAAAATATGATTGATCAATGAATTCCATCGAATTTCTTAACAAACAATTCACACAATACGTATTGTTTTGATTTCAGTTATTATCGTGAATATGCTAATCATTTGGGAAACTTTAAAATGATTCATTTTCCAAGTTTTTTTATAGAAACGAATAACGTTTCTAGGTCGTTTTAATTACATTTTATAGAATAGTATCTACCAAGAATACGTAATTACGCAAAATATCAATCTCGTTATTACACCATTTCCATGAGAAATTACATCTGTTAACTTTGTACCATGCCTACATATATAACTTCAGTGTCAGTTGGTTTGTTAAAAGGTGAAGGCTGATAAGTACACATTTCATTTGTTTCTAAGAATGAATACTTACATTGAATAAATCGAATTTTCTTTTCTTTTCTTTCTTTTTTTTTCCGTTAAGAATAATCAGAATAATTTTCTTTAGAAAATCTCAATTAAATTTTTATATAAGTTTATCGTAAAACAAATAGCACCGTATATATTCGTTAATTCTCAATTTTTTCTGTTAATTGTTTCCTTCAATTTGTCCAATTAGTAACAATGATTCATTTAATTAACAGTTGTCACCTTGTTAAAGTTTCTCGTACTATTTTTATTCTCACCAAATAGTTAAAAAAAATAAAATTTCTTTTTGGACGAAGACCGAATTATGTTACCCATCAAGGGTTTCTTTTTAATTCTTTTTTGTTTGTTTGGTTCACTCCAAAAATAAATCACAAGTGGGCGGGGGTGGGATAGTATGATTAATAACGTATTGTTCTATCACCTGTTGCAAAACTTGCAAACATTTCGAATATTCCAGTTTATAAAATTCAGGAAATTTAGGAAACATTCGTTAACTCGTAATCACTTATAATGTTACGTATTTTCGTCAACCATAGCATCGATGAGTTTAATATCATCCGAAGTTGATAACCTGTGGTCTTGATTTCCCGAACTAAACTGATCACTTTTGAATATTTTAAACAATTTGCCAATTGTTTGAACACTTGTAATATGATTCTTATAAACGGTGCTAATCTTGTTCGCGGTATGGATAACACTGTGATTTTGTTTGCAACTTATTTTATTTTGATTTTCCATAATTGAAGGTAGACGGACAAAATAACGCGTTGAATTATTGGAAACGACTGAGAATTAAACGTGTTTGTATGATAACTAAGGTATTGCGTGCAAAGACACAGATTTTATTCAATTCCAAGAGATTGTAGTGCATGTTTGCATAATAATTTAGACTCTGATAAAGTCGGATACGTGTAGATAAAGAAATGATACATTTTCAAACAAATTAATTATAAATAAATGATTAACGTGTAGAATTATTGATCTTATTTATATAGCATTATACAAACTAAAAAAAGAACAAAAGAAAACATTGTTTATTTAGTAAAATGCTTTGATTATTCTCGAATATCATTTATTCGAATGATCGTGTATCTGAATATAGAATGAGTCACGTGTATACATATTTTAGTTATCTGTTAAACAAAGTTTTACAAGTTATGTTATTTCATTTGTATCTCAGACAAATGATAAATAAAAATAATATCAGCATTGGACACTGGGTAAAATATAAAAGTTGAATAAATATCGTTAAAAATTGTCATGTTGAATGGAATTTCGTAATTTGGTAATATTCAAGAACGTATAATTTTTGATATTGAATTTTTCTTGTATTCATTTGTATAATTCGATCACATACTCGATCTTATGTTAGAAAATTCACGATGAAAGTATCATTATCTTTAATTAAAAATCGATGTGAAGTTATCTATCTTCATTCTTACATTTTCTTATTCTCTTTTTCCTTCTTTTTTTTCGCAACAAAAAGAAATTAGATTATTTGTTCGCCGCAGGGCTATTGCCATTCCATGATCCATTTTATTCAATTCTAGGAATACCGATGTTTGTATTAATATTCTTCCGATAGATCTAGATAATAAATTTATTATTTATAAAATAATGTATGTGTGTGGAATATATATATATATATATCTTCTTACGATTATAATACTTAACACGTATTTTTTTTCTTTTTTTCAAGGATATAAAATAATAAGACGAATAATTAAATAAGCGATTAAATAAAATATTCAACGTGTGTGGTAGCCGATATATTAACGTAACATCCTTGATGACGATACGAGATTGTGTTATCTTTGAACGTTGAAATGAAGTAATTAAATTTACTCCCGGTTATGGTTGTATCAATATTGTAGCTGTATACTCGGAAACCGAAAAATAAAATCACGTACGATGAGAGAGAGAGATATGCGCGTATAAACAACCGTACGGAGGAAAATTCGTAGGACTACCGATTTGAGATATTAATTAATTAAATGAATACGATGAGAGGAGGTCTGATATTGATAATAAATGATTGATAAATTGAATATTGAATATTCAATGATCGGTTCTCTTACATTAAACTCGTCTTCGAATAATGAATTTTATTATAGCGTTACGTTTATTTTCATTTGTTTTTTTTTGTTTTTTTAATAATTAATTGTTAAAACCTCAAGAGAATAACGAGAGTTCCAACAAATGTAATTGTATAAACGGATATGCATGTTATTTAAATGTAAAATCCTTATGTTTTTTTTTATTGCATTTCAGAAATCACACACAGATTTCAAACAGCCCGCCGTGAAGTAAGACAACTGTTGCTTCAATATTTATTACCTTGGTTGCATAACATGGAATTAGTTGATCCCAACGTACCACCACCATCAAATCCTCTAAGTTATTATCAGGTAAATCGATATTATTTTTGAAAATTCGCATTCTCGCATTACGCTCGTTAATATTTCATTTTGATCTTAATCGAATTTAATTTATGAAATAGCTGAAGAGAACTTTTGGAAACTATTTTCAATACTGACGACATACGGATATAAGAAATTTTATGATATTAAATTGCAGTTCTTAAAAAAGCCACTCGTCGTATATCATTGCCGACAAAAACGTCTTTTAGCAATTTGCCAAATGAATTATAGCGATCATAACCGGAATTTACGCACTTTTGCGAAAATTCTGGATCATTTTCATTTATCGAAATGGGGATTAAGAGATGGATTATTAAATCCCTTAAGTGATATTAATTTAATGGTGCATCAAAACTAGATAAATATATTGATCATGTTTCGATCTGTGTAGAATTAAAGGATATAATAATACATATATTTTAAACATTATTTTTATGTACATATATATATATATATTTCCATAAAAATGAACATTCTGCATTCATTTTTATTGCGCAATGTAACAATCAATTATAACTATAGATATTATTTTATTGTTATTGTTATCTATGACAAATATTTTCTGTTTTTATTTATTTATTAAATTATTATTTCTGCATTCGTTAGTTGAAAGTACAAATAAAATGATCAAAGTGAATTGATCATTAGCCACGTTACGTCGTAAATAGGTAAACTATAATGTTTGTTATTTTGGAAGGGAAAGATTTTTATAAATAATTATTAATTGTAAAAAAAAAAATGATACTTGGAGGCGCCGGGCATCGATCCCGGTACCTCTCGCATGCTAAGCGAGCGCTCTACCATCTGAGCTACGCCCCCAGTTGATACAGTTTACTTTAATAATCGAACATGATCGACGAATGTGATCTACTTTTGGTGAAAGGTATGAGTAATAAAAAAAACAATAAAAAATAAATATTTTAAGAAAAAATATATACTTGGAGGCGCCGGGCATCGATCCCGGTACCTCTCGCATGCTAAGCGAGCGCTCTACCATCTGAGCTACGCCCCCGATATTCTACAAATTGAGAAATAATATTGTGTCTGTTCATAACAACCCCCTTGAGAGAATTAATTTTCTATATACGTCAGTCTCTTCAATATATTTTTCATCTTTTTAACAATGTAATCTTGTCGAATGTAATATCACTCAAGTGATTCTTCGTTATTCATAAACGAACGAAAAATTTATTTAATTATATTTAATCCTTGTATAATTGTTTCATACAATATTCCTCCAATTACTTTTTAGCTTATTAGAAATTGAAATTAATCTTAAAATTTGCAATTGCAGTAAAGTATGAATAGAAAATATTACGTATTATATGTGTTTGCATATTTTAAAGTTTTTATTTTATTTTATTAAGTTAACGTTTTTCTCAACCACATAAGAATTTTTTTAAACATTGTTTTATCAACTGGGGGCGTAGCTCAGATGGTAGAGCGCTCGCTTAGCATGCGAGAGGTACCGGGATCGATGCCCGGCGCCTCCAAAATTTATTTTTATTTTTGCACCAATTTATATCAACCCTTTTTTGGATTCCGAATTTATATTTCAATGTTTTGTTATAACAGCTATCCCAACCAACTGTTAAATGTTTTATTTGAAATTACCTACAATTAAAAAGTATAAGGCAATTTAAATAAGAGTAAATCAATTCAATTAAATATTTATTTTATTTACACTATATATTGTTGTATATTGTAATTTTCAAATGTATATCTGTCGAGATAAAAATTAAATTGACGTAGTAGGAGTGCAAAATGGTTAATTAATAACGAGTAATTGAATGATCCTTGCGAAAAATTGGTAGAGAACATTTTAATACTTTTTGAATGATTTTTTCGATCAAAAAATGTATAGGTATTATTTTACACGTATCTCATAGATATTCATATCAATTCTGTTATAAACGTTGCGTGAAATTTTCTGGGATTTAAAGCTTTATGTTTAATGTCAAAAGCGTAATACATCCTTTGATATCGTAGCATTGATTGCATTCCAAATCAAACAAGTTACACATGGCTGATCTTTTTGTATACGTGCAATTTCTGCAATATGTTTTAATCAATGTGCTAAAACAAATTCGATGAATTACGTTAGAGGCGTAATCCGTGGTTCGATATGAAAATACAAACTTTAACTCTTCTCTCATTCTCCCTTTCTCTCTCCCTCTATCTTTTCTTTATTTGTTTTTATTAATATTTAATAAAAATGTATTCATCGAATTAATTTATTTGATAATCAAAATCACTGTGGGAGTAATTCATTTAGATGCATGCAATCTATGTACTATGATCGATATATGAATCCATCTATCGACTATTTCTTAAAAATAATTTTTGTAAACAATTTATTTATATTTTTAGTTCCTGAAAACAAGTTGAGTTAGAGTATCAGGAACATTCAATGGGGGCGTAGCTCAGATGGTAGAGCGCTCGCTTAGCATGCGAGAGGTACCGGGATCGATGCCCGGCGCCTCCAAGTATATATTTTTTCTTAAAATATTTATTTTTTATTGTTTTTTTTTATTACTCATACCTTTCACCAAAAGTAGATCACATTCGTCGATCATGTTCGATTATTAAAGTAAACTGTATCAACTGGGGGCGTAGCTCAGATGGTAGAGCGCTCGCTTAGCATGCGAGAGGTACCGGGATCGATGCCCGGCGCCTCCAAAAGTTTCTTTTTTTTTTTTTTAATAATCATTTATTTATTTTTTTAAACCGACAATTTGAAAATTTATATTGTCTTAGGTGCTACTCCTAAATCATTTTTAGAAAAACCTTTCTAAACTTGTTTTTTTTTAAATTGTTTTTAGAATTCATTCCTATTAAATTCTTTTAGACTAAATGTTTACATAACTCAGGTATATTGATCAGATTATTTACCAATAATAGAATAAATAAATTAATGTTTTTTTTTTATTTCAAATAAATAAAAATGTCATATGCCTCAAGTTTTCATCTTGATCGTTTTATTTTTTATCAAAATAATTTTAGTATACGTTCACTTGTTCATATTGGATTGATAATAATAATTTGTTTTAATTTGATTTTATTTGATATAGTATTACGCGAGTGAAATAACACGAGGTGGAGCACGTAGAGAAGGATGGGGTAGCGCAGAGGCAACAGAAATGGTGCTGAACAATTTGTTTTACATCACAGCAAAGGTAATTTCGAAGTATTTCGTGAAAGAATGTTGATTGAATTTGACGAGCTTTTAATTCAACACTTATAGAGATCTATAATAGAAATAATAATAATAATAAGTTAAGTAAATCTATTTTTATTGTTCTTTTTCGTAAGTTTTCCGATGAACATCCTAAAGACATCGAAGAACTGTGGGCAACACTTTGTGGTTGTTGGCCTAACAATCTTAAAGTAATCCTACGTTATCTTATAATTGTATCGGGTATGGCTCCTCAAGAGTTACTATCTTATGTAAGTATATCATCATAGAAAATAAATGATATATTTATTTATTTATATATATAAAAATGTATGCAGAAATAGTAGAAAAATGATGAAATGATTTAGGCCAAACGAGTGGTACTCTACTTGGCCAGAGCACGACCCGATCGTCTCGTAGACGAAATGATGACCGAATTGCAAACAGTCGAGACACTTAATTGTTTGATCGAGCGTACAGAAACACCACCATTTTATCGGTTAACCAGCATGCGTAAGGCATCGTCTCACAGCGATGCACCTACCGCGGATCCTGCTAATCCTCCGCGAGATTTGGGAGTCGAAAAAGGTACCATTCATACTAAACGACATTCTGGCGAGGATCCCGTTAAAACTGGGTATGAGATTTGCCTTTTTTTTGTATCTAAAGGATATTGCACGATATATATGATGGTCCGTTGTATATTTTTCTTGTACATCTTTTTCTTTTCTGTTTTTTCTGTTTCTTTTTTTTCTTTTTTTTTTTTTCTTTTACTACGTGATCTTTACGATTAGTTCCAAGTCCGATACTGCGTTACGTGCTCTCGCTGGATTTCAAACCCCGAGGGCAGAAAAAACTAGGACAGCAAGTGGGCCGCCAGTTCTTCCGGACGATTTGTCGACTCCTACGACGGAAGTCGAAGTATATTTTTCATTTCTTTTTTTTATCCTATTGTATATATATATATTTATTATACAATATTTCATTGTATATACATGACCCTAGCTAACTACAGACGAATCGTGTTATATCGCACGAACTGGACCAGTGGGTTTGAGTGGTAAACCTCAATGCATTGGTGAAAAATTTGACATACCACAACCTCACCCATTGCCAATGCCAGAATACGGCGGATATTTTGCACCCTTAACCGAATACCTTCCTGACAGTTCGCAGCCCATAAGTGGCTTTCATAGGTATATTAATTAATAATATATCAATAGGTTTTATATAATTCATCTATCCTATCAATATTTTTATTTAAGTTGTGGATCATAGGATTTATTCGTAATTCCAGATGCAACATAGCAGTTATGCTGCTGACCGATGTTGTTGTAGATGGAGTACAAGTTGATTGGACAATTCATGTTCCTTTGATGTTGCATATTGTCTTTTTGGGTTTGGATCATTCGAGGCCACTCGTAAGAGATCACTGTCGCTGTCTTATATTGAATTTACTAGTCGTTCTTGGTGATCACAGAGATCATCTTGGGGTAGCAAGAATCTTACTTGCCTCGAAGACCAAACAATTAGGTTTAGGTCTTCCTACGCCAGCTTTGCCAGTTTTAGAACATAATTTCACCGAAGTTGACCCAGAATTTGACAGTTATCTGTATGGACCACCGCCAGCACCTCCACCCACTACACCTCCACATTCTTCTTCACCTCCTCCGTCCTGTACACCGCCTCCACCACCTCCTCCTCCGCCACCACCATTGCCTCCTTCATTTACGGAGACATCTTCGTGTTTTCCTGCACCACCTCCTCCTCCACCACCACCTCCTCCACCGTCTTTACTATCATCAGCTAATGGTACTCCCACTCATTCACCCGTCCCTGTATCTGTGTCCAGTACCCCAATATCAATGAGTCATGTATTCCAGCAACTCGTAGACAATTGCAAAGATTATAGCAGTCCCCATTCGTATGGTACGACATTTTCAATTAAATGCAACACAGTTAGAGATTCTCTAAATCGATTTTACGTTTATCGATTAACATTGATCTTTGTGTCAGATTCAACGGTATGCAATAGTTGGCCAGCAACAACGGGTACAGGCACAACTATACCACCTGTTATAGTTACACCAGAGGATAGTAATAATTGGGTTGGACCTCAACCTGGTCCCAACATGCCTATTCAAGATGTTATCAAATCTTTGATTAACTTTCTTGCATCTAGGTATGTACGAAAGTATCTACGATTTAATCGATGAAGTATTTTATAACAATCCTGGATTGATCATAGAATAAATCAACCTTTATGGAATTATGAAGATATGACTGCTAAAGTATGGTGGGTTCGTAGTGCCGAACAACTCACTATATTGTTACGACACGTTTTAAGAGTCTTCCGTGATTCTTTACCTCATGCATTAGTAAGTCAAAGATGGGCTCAAATTGCATTGCAATTGGGATTGTCCTGTTCGTCAAGACATTATGCTGGACGTTCTCTTCAAGTGTTTCGAGCGTTACGTGTTCCTATTACATCACGCATGCTATCCGATATTTTGTCTAGATTAGTTGAAACGGTTGCTGAACAAGGCGAGGACATGCAGGTATTCAAATTATTTATACTGACGTACATTCGTTTGTTATATTTTAACGAATGACAATACGAAATGATTTCATTCTAATACAGGGCTACGTGACGGAATTACTTTTAACTTTGGAAGCTGCTGTTGATTCATTAGAATCCGATTTTAGACCATTAGATTTTATGAAAGAAATATTTAAATCAACCCCCAATTTAAATAACAAAGATCCCGTATCTGGTATTGTGATCGGTGGTAAACGTAGTCCTGGAATAAATGGTTGTGGTCCCACGGGACCACAAATTCTGTCTCATTTAAATCAAGTTGGACATACGCGAAGTACCAGTTATTCTGTTAGTTATTGTATGAAGAAATCAAGTGGTGGTAACACAGCTGTTAGTGAATTGAAAGGTTATTATTTTTGCCATTGAATATAATAAGTATATTTTATCTTATAGATTATTTGTAAATTTATCATTTATTTGTTTTTTTTTCTTCTTTTAGAATTAGATAATAGAGGGGGTTGTAACAAATATCCGAATTCTAATCTTTCGAGATCAAGATCGGCACAATCTTTGAAATTACTCGGCGATTCTGCTACCCAGGATGATAAGATGACTATTTTAGCACAGTTATTCTGGTTATCGGTTTCGCTTTTGGAATCGGATTATGAACATGAATTTCTTCTAGCATTGAGATTGCTAAGTCGAGTACTTCATAGGTTACCATTGGATCGTCCAGATGCAAGAGACAAAGTTGAAAAGTTACAACAACAATTAAGATGGAATTCTTTTCCCGGTGTCCATGCTCTTCTGTTAAAGGGATGCACAAGTCCGAATACATACGAGCCGGTTGTAACGTTGCTATCACAGTTTACACCATTATTGGATTTACCAGTTGTTGATCCCACTCAAAGCTTAGCTTTTCCAATGAACGTGGTCTCTTTACTTCCATACATGTTGCTGCATTATGAAGATGCAAATGAATTGTGTATTAGAAGTGCAGAAAATATAGCACAAGTAAATAATCTTCAGAAATTTATCATTATTTTTACATATTTGTATATCGTCACACACACAATTTATATTATACGTTTGTATACAGGTAAGTGCAGAGAAAGGGAAGAAACTCGAAAATTTGGGTACTGTAATGACTTTATACAGTCGTCGTACATTCAGTAAAGAAAGCTTTCAATGGACTAAATGTGTCGTTAAATATCTTTACGATACTTATGCTCATTTGAGTTTTGACATGTTAGCCTTTTTGGTTGAGGTATTAGAAAAGGGTCCAGGAAGTGTTGCTTTACCTGTACTCAGTATCATACACTGTATATTACATTATGTTGATCTTGCATCGCAAGCTGCTCAGCCTATCAATACTGAACTCTTACAAGTTATTTCAAAATACGTGGAAGTAAGTTGCTTCTTTATTTTAATTTAATAAATAAAAACCATAAATAAATCTCTCAAAGAGAGAGATAGAGAGAGAGAGAGTTAAAGAATTTAACTTTATTTTGTTGTAATTATTTAAACAGGGACCTCATTGGAAGGAAGCATTAAAAATTTTAAAACTTGTAGTAACAAGATCCTCAACTTTAGTTGCCCCACCAACATCAATGCATGTACCATCGTGGGAATCATCTTTGGCATCTCCGCATCCAAGTTTCACGGATACGGAGATATTTACTAAAAAAGAATTACCTGGTATGTCACTTATTCAATTAATATATATATTATTACATTTTTGCATGCAGTAAATATATAATAAATATAAATTTGATTATTTTTTTCTTTTGCAACGCGGCATTTGCTATCACTGATCGGATTACTTATTTGTCAACATTCAGGTTGCGATAAAAATAATAATCATAACGTGTAGCTTGCAATCAAATAAACTTAACATCATTTTTCTATACTTCATTGTCTTTTATACAATTCTTTTTTTCTCTCTTTCTCTTTTTAATTTCTAATCTGTACCGCTGTTTTCTTTTTTTCATCTCATTTTTATTTAAAAACTGTATATTAACATATTTTACAGTAATGTATAACCGTCGAACAATTTACAGTTTTATTTATATTTTTATATATCAAGATTTATAATACAAGTACAATTTTATTATATAGGCAGGACAATGGATTTCACTTTCGATCTTTCCCAAACACCTGTGATTGGAAGAAGGTGGTTAATCAGACAAGGTAACGAAGAAAAATCTTCGAGTTCACCACAATGTTCTATGTCTCTTTCACCAGCAGAAAGTACCGCAGTTTCTGGATGGAAAAGGCCTTGGATGTCACAGGTTTGTGTTTTTAATATATATTTTCTTATAATTATCTTGATACACGTATAAAATAAAATTTGATATTTCCTACAGGGTCGTGTTAGAGAATGTTTAGTGAACTTGTTAACAACGTGTGGACAAAGAGTTGGATTACCTAAGAGTCCATCGGTTAGTATTAAACATATATATTATTTAGCATTTCAAATTAGATTTTCTCCATTCCTACCAGCTCGATAGTTAATAAATAGCCCCCCATTCCTCTCGTCAAAATTTATTTCCATTATATATCCTTTTTTAGGATGAACACATTAGTTCAATGACATTGTATAGCAAGGTAAAAAAGGTTTTTTTATATAAATACGATTTGCACCTTAACAGCGATAAATATTGTTCAGACGTCACGAACAATAGAAAACAAAACAAACAAAAATCAAAAAGATTACAATAAGTGAGTGAAACGTTACACGCTTTAATGTAAATGTAGTAGACACACTTGCATACAGCTAAATTGGAAATCGATGCATAGGACGCAAACATCGATTGAATCATTTGAACACACGGAAAAGTGCACTTTAAACGGAATAGTGTTTTGCGATATAAAATATAGAATATATCAAAGTAAAATAAGAAAATAAAAAATTAGATTATTCGTTATACACTAATCGAAAATGAAATATAATATTTGAACGTAGGTGATATTCAGTCAAAGTTCTGACTTAATGGAGAGGCAATCATCGATGGCGTCATCTACAGAGGAAGTTTCTGGTGCGAACAATGATTTAAGTGGTGGTTCTCGACGAGACGATGAACAATTTGGGGTGTTCAAAGATTTTGACTTCCTTGAATATGAGAGCGAAAGTGTCGAGGTAACAACTGATATTTGTTTAATTCATTTGTTGTGCACTGTATACATATCTCGTATCAATGGTATACACATTTTATTTGTTTTTCTGCAATTCGATATTTTTCAAATGTCATAAAAAGTGTTTTTTTTTTTTKTTAAAAATAATCGTTTGCCATTAAAAACATAGCGCGTTATTTTTTTCCTCCACCAAGTAGATGGGTTTACAAATAAACCATACTACTCGTGATGAATAGGTATTATTATTCGAATTATAAGCATTTTCATATCTATATAGGGTGAAAGTACGGATAACTTTAACTGGGGTGTTAGACGACGTCCTCTCAGTGAAGGAGAGGAAAGGGAACCTAGTCTACGACAGTTTGAGGAAAGTTTGAGCGAAAAAACCCAAACGTCGAGCAAACATACTACCAGAGTAAATATTTCTACAATTTATTTATTTTATTTTTGTGTTATAACACAAAAATAACACACACCCACACACAGAAAGACGTAAGAATAATATTACAATTATAGCGGGGAGTCACGGAAGAATCGTCTGACGATGAAGCCGGTTCAGAATCACCATTGGATGAAGTACCAAGTGGATCAGGAGCTGGACAAGAAGCTAACAGTATTCCAGGAATGTTTCCACCTTCTTCTCTTTCGATACCGAGCCGAACACGTCACGACTCATCCACAAGGTCTGACACGTCGTAAGTTTCTAAATAAGAATCCTGACGAATTGTATTTTCGAATTTGTCCATTTTTCTACAGCGGTTCTAGCGCAGGAGATCTCGGAGATGTGACACCTTGCAACGCGTCACCAAATTTATCCGCATTAATGCCGTTCAGACAGGTTGTCAGGGACGACGCCGAAGAAATTTGGCGCCAACAAATTCAAGCTCTCGTCACTCAGGCACCTTATACCACATTAGATTTCTTTCAATTATTAAGTAGAATTATAAGGGTAATTATATAACTTATTGTTAAACTTGATTGTTGTTTAAACAAACGTAAAATCGTATAGGCAATATTTTGTTTTCGTATTACTAGGATGTGAGCAGTAAATCAGTGGGCCTGACTCGGGAAGCATGCGCTTTATTATCAAACGGCAGTCCTGCTTCTAAACAATTAGGATATCATTTATCTAGTCACGCAGAATTACTTAGCGCGAAAGCCGAACCACCGTTAGTTTGGTTTTCCGTTTCCATTTTTTCGCATCAAAGATTGCACGAATCTTTGCGTTTCGAAATGTTGGAAATACAGCAACATCTCGAAACGTTTCCTGACAGAAAATATCACGCCACGGAGGTAAATAATTCATTTATTTCTAATATATCGATTAGATTTATCGATACTACATTCAAAAATGTTAATTATAGTGTTTGGAAACGGTAAAAGCAACGACGAAACTTCAAGCATTAGGTGGTACCACTACGATGGAACTTGGTTTTGAGGAAATGTTTTTAGATCTGGGCCGGTCATTTTACAAATTGCATCTTCAATTATTGTTATTGATAAAGGCATCGAACAAAATGTTAGGAATATTAATAAGTGCCGCGAGAAACGTACAGATACCCTTACAAGATATATCAACTGAAATATCTAATATGAAGACAGCATTGAGTAGAGCTTTGGAAGAAAGTACCGAAAGTGAACGAGGTACACCGACTCCAACGCCCAGTCCTAGTCCTTTGCCAGCTGTTGGAGCCGTTGAAGATATCGCAAGGGTTGCCGAACTTCTTAGAAATGCAAGATGGTGTCCAGCTTTGGAAGCTGTTAGATTACACAGAGCTCAATGGCCTGGTGATCCTTTCCACGATGACGATGATGTAACAACAGCCGTTAACATGTATTGTAAACACTTGGGACAAGATAGATCTGGTATGTTTTGACATTTTTAAAAAAAATAATCTTTCCATCTTTCGCGCCAAAATCTAACTGTCTCTTATATTTTTTGCTTCTTTTTTTTTGCTATTTTCTTTTTTTTTTTATCTCTTCAGATATTTTCGTGGTCACCCGAACTGACGATGAAATGGTTGAAATCTTTAATAAACTCATGAGCAGTTTATTTCAAGTTCTTACATCTGTGACAGGTCTCGAGGGATCCGCGAAATCAGCGCGTGCACAACAGGATCATTCTAATCATTCGAAAAACGACTGTTAATTTATAAGCATTTTAGTATTATTGACAACTTGCCTAAACGTATATAAGAGCTCTTACAAATTTTAATAATCTTTATGAATGTATCGCGTAGCATAAAATTCGTAGAAAAAAGAAAAAAGGGGTGAGAGAGAGAGAGAGAATATATCGAGAAGAAACAGAAGAAAGAAAGAAAGAAAAAAAAAAAAAGATTAACGAGAGCAAAAGTACGAAATCGTTGTCTTATTTTTTTTTAATCTTATTTCGTGTATATTTTTTTCTCCTTTTTTTACATTACGTCTTGCTTTTAATATCATATAAGTAACGTTAAAAGATTATTTATGAAAAAGAAGAACCAAAAATAAACGTACTGATGCTCGACAAAAATAATATCGATCTATGTTTTGTAAAGAAAAAATGGCGGCGGACACTCCGACGTATAATTTTCGGTTATTGATTAGCGAATACGATCTTGAATCATGCTTCAACGTAAAGAATTTTGCTTGCCGATTTATCAAGAAAGCTATTAAAAAAGCTACGAGAATAATAAGTGACATGGTTTGTTAACAAAAATTTCTTTATCATTTTATTAAACTGATTATTTAAAAATTCGATACTTTATAGGACGATATTTCTGATCTAACGGTGCGAAGAAATTCTACTGTTACCAGATCATTGAGTTATTTTGGCGTCGAGTGGCCCACTTGTGGTAATATTGATAAACAAAATATTTCAATCAGTCTCCAAAATGAAATGAAAGCGTGGAATAATTTGCCGGTAAATTTGAAGAAAATAATTAAATGAAAGAAAAATTTTTCAAGAGAAAAAACATATCTGACATATGCGAATTACGCGTTTTTAGGAATTAAAGGATTGGATGTTCAGTATAGAATTTGTTAGTCTTTCTGCCTTGAATAATACAGATTATTACAGATATAAAATATTTTGGAGCGTACCTACGAAATCGTATCCCGAACCACAAGTTACGGTTTACCTAAGATTCCGTATAGCTGTAAATCTTGATTACCCAGCACATTATCCTGTAAATGTAAGTTAATAATATCCTCGTGTTCAAATAATTACACACAGTTAGGAATAAGGATAAACGCGCGTATAATTAAACACATACTTTTTCAACTCAGGTCACGTATATTATCGAAGCTCGTAATTTGATTAATCGATTGGATACAATGTTTCAACCTAAATGGCTTTACGATATATTAGATATGAAAACTATGATGTTCAAGTCATTTGAATCTTAAACAACAAAGATGTTTCTTATTCCTTATCGAATCTAATTATAATTATATATATATATATATATATATTTATAGAAAGAGAGAGATGGTTAAAACTTTGGACATGTGCATCAAACAAGGCTCAACATTTTTACATTTGCATTTTGAAAGTATATTACGTAGCGTGCAAAGTGTCGTAAAAGTAAGAGTGTCAGATTTCTCTACGAGCCGGCGCGACGAGAGCACGCGCCCGGCTAAACTCGGTTGCAAGCACACCGGACGCCGGTTCACTTTGGTCGGTCAAACAATAGGAGCAGGTGATACCCCAAGAAGAGAGAGAAAGGGTAGTATACCTTCTCCTACTACTACTACTACTACTACTTTGCTCTCTTTCAATTACGTTTACCACGCTCTCTCGTATTAACCCATTAGTGCCGAGTCGTTTCCACGATTCATTTACGCGAACTCAACTTCAAAACATATATATATATATATATATATTTTATAATACCCATCGAATTGTTTTTAATTTTTTCAACATTTTCTTTCTCATTTTGTTAGGGTGAACCGAAAATTCGTGCATGTTTTTTTTTGGTATTTATTTCCAAAGTAAATCTTACAAAAAAACAATTCACGGTTATGCAGTTTAAATACAATGAACGTTGCGAACTTTTTGGTTCACCCTAACAGCAGTAGCCTAATTGGATTTTGTTTTCTTCTTCTTATTTTCTTGTGTACGATGTTATCTTCGAACGAATAGTTAAAAAAAGATATTCTTTCTAAGTCTCCCACGAAGAAGATAGGCATTCGTGGACTAGAAAGAATATATCTATGTAGAAATTCAGCGATTACGTATGTATTTTTACGTGTATGTGTACACTTTACCATGATGTATACATCAAGGGGAGGTGCAATCCGTGCGTTGGTCTCTTTCTATTTTCTTTTTTTTGTGTTCAATTCTTCTAACTTCGGTTTTGGTAATAGTGAGACAACGATGAAGAACCCAAGGATGACAATTCGAAAATCTTCAAGGGATTTTAACTGACTTTCAAATACACATGGTGGTCGAAAGCAATTGGGGAGGTCTTTCTATCTCAGCAGGAGCCCCAGAATCGCTAACCACGTGTCAAGTACATTCAAATGAACTGAAAGAATATGATTCTATTATCTTTTCGTGGTTATATTTGTTTTTACCTATATAAACATTTTGTTCTTTACTTGTTGACCATTTGAATCAAAAGGTTATTTTTGAATAGATCAAATATATATTTATTGTATCTCCAAAAAAAGTTAAAAGGTAGCACGTGTTGATTACACACGTATACTACACGCCTATATGTATTTTTTCTTTTTAGGAACTATCATCTTTCACCTTACATTCTGTTAAATCGTATCTTTTCAAAGTTTTGACAAGAAATTCCGTATTTTCTACGCTTTTCTCACAAGGGTTTAGGTAGCCAGCAGGTTGCACTTTCAGGTCAAAGAAAAGAAGATCCGTTTGATGTGTAATCTGAGAAGAAGAAGAAGAAGAACAAGAAGAAGAAGAAGAAGAAGAGGTCGGTCGGTCGACATGCCTTTTTATTTTTCTTTTAACCGGTGTGAAATTGAATTCATTCAAATAAAACACGCCTGTTTTGTTGGTTTCATTGAAAAAATCCTATTTAATGTTTTACACAATTCATTCTCTTTCTTTTTATTTCCTTTTTTTTTTATTTTGGTATTCCATATTTCACATAAATCTCATGCAAATAAAGATGGGAGAAATGAGAAGGAAATGAAAGGAAAACAGGAACACCCTGTGTCCCTTTTGTAAATAATCAATCACGGAATGTGGGTCAAAGAAGAATTTCAATCGGTAAGAGCAGCAACCACCATCACAACTACCAACAACCATATCATAACCACACAACCATTACGATAACAACCACCATCGTTTGTCTATATTTAAACGGGAGGGATTTTTTTTTTCTACTGCCATGTCCTAAACATCACATCCGCTGAGGTGCTTCCTTCTTCTTCTTCTTTTTCTTCTTCTCTGTAATTCTTCATCGCGGTTCTGTGTGTGCTTGGTTCGAACGAAGAAAAGTTTAAAAGAAAAGAAAGAGAAAGTAAATACCGGTAAAAGAACCACCACCAAACTCCTCATTCTCATTCTCCTTCTTCTCCTCCTCAATTCCAGCAGCTTCAAACATCCGTTGCACCAGCCGTCGTCAGATTTTCTTACTCTCTTCATTATTTTATCATCTTCAATCCTTTTATTTTACCTCCTACCTATATCTACCTATTTCTTCTTAGTCTAGTTATAGTTATTCTAGTTCTAGTTCTAGTTAATGAAAATGAAATTGAATGAATGAAAATGAAAAACACATTTGAATCAAACCCCTAACTGATGGAAACAATGAGTTTCCCTATAAAAGAAATAACATTAAGAACAAATTGGGGTGGAGTGGAGAGGTGGTGAAGAAAATAAAAGGGAAAAGGAAAAGAAGATGATGTCCGTCGTCCGTGAACACGGTGCGACACGTTTTCAACTACTTGGAGACAGACCCACGTGCAAGACTATGAACCAACTCGAATCACCAGCTGCCGATCCATCGGTGCTGACTCCTGGAGCCCTGGAGTCTCGATCTAAAATTAGCGAAAGCAAAGCACCCCCGCCTAGCCCTTACATGGCCACGTCGCGTCGTACACCACACGTTCCTCCTCCTCCTTCTCCTCCACCTCCTCTCGGTTACTTTCAAAGAAGAAACCAACAACAAAAAGTATTAAAAAAAGAAAAGAAGAAGGCAAAAAGGAAACAATAATAATCCGTTGCTTTAGCACGAGCCACGCGAGTCGATCGTGTGCGATATTATTCCACAGCTGTTGTTTCAAGGGAGGCCCTTTCCCCCTGCTCCCCTGTCCCCCTGCCCCTTCTCGTGTGTTTGCTTCGATAAAGATCTACGACGATGACGAGAACGAACCAAAAAAAAAGAAAAATGTTAAACGAAAGAAAGAGTTATTTAATTTGCACGTATATTATGGTGGTCGTTCGAAGTAATAAAAATTCAAATAATATTAGGGTATTATATAAATATATGGTATAATGAATAAAATAATGATTAGGAATATGAATAAATGATTAATTATTAGTTTATTATTATTAGGATGAACTAATAAATGTTTGTGAGTATTTTTTAATATTTATTTCTAAAGTAAATTTGTATGGAAATATTAAAAAAACAATTCTATTTTATACAGCTACGAAGTAAAATTTCGACAGAATAAACGCAAGAAATTTGGATTAAATTTCTAATAATATCAAAGAAATTGATTATATGTGTAATATGTTTTCTAACGAAACTTTAACGTTCACCCACGAAGTTTCTTTTTTTTTTTTTTTTCTTTTGCTACACGATAAAAGTTAAAGGGAAGAAACATCCGCAGTTAACCACATGGCTTCTCAATGGAAAAATAACGCGACAAGCATTGAAAAAGATTACGTCGTCGATGATCAGAGTAAGAATGAACGAACAACTAACTGTGTCCCTTTTCTTTTTCACAGGATGTTTTTATTATTTCGCATAAAGGTTTATCCGTGTACACATCTTCAATTGAAAATAAATTAATTGAAAATTAATTGTAATATTAAAAGACAAAAAGATTAAAATGATATATCATAAATGAATTTGTTTAATTAACACGTTAAAATTCGAACGTATTTGACAATGAAAAAGTTGTTACAAAGATTAAAAATTTAGGTATCCTTTAGAAGTTCGTTGCTCTTTAATATTTGATGGGCCAGAGGGCCACGAAAGAAGAAGAAGAAGAAATCCTTTCGATCTTCCTCGTGGTACAGGAGGAGAAACCTACGTCGTCTGAGTACATCTGCGCCGAGCGGATGCAGCCTGCATTTTATGGCCGCCCAATGCAACCGATTCTCGTTTCTGCACCCGCACTCACACCCCTGCGAGTACCACCTTCAGCACGCGGCACAACGACTTCTATAATTAGATTTCCTTTTCTTCCCTTCAACGTTAGACACCTTCGAGACCCACGTAAACCTACGATCTTTTTCCTTACGTTACGAATCTTACGAATCTCTGACGGACATCCCTTCTTTTTATTTTTTTTTTCTGGGCAGGAGCGGGTTTATCTTCGTCCTTCCTTTGAGATGTCACTCGTTGGATCGTTGAGAAAAAAGAAAAAAGATTTCGATGATTATATTCCTAAAGATTTCTTACTTAAGATATTATTATATCAGATTTAATAATAATTAATGTAATTTTCCGATAGATATGTAACCCCAACGCTTCCATTTTCTGACGTTAACAGTGTCTTGACCAAAAGCATTACAGATATTTTTTGCAACTTCATTTTATTTTCTTCCCAATTGGAATTCGTAAAGCATGCAATACCGAATATGTTCCTAATCTTAATCTAGTTTCTCAAAGTAAAACAGTTCGAACAGAAACTTTTTGCTGAAAATCTTGTTAAATTATGCTTCATACTTTTTGTATGTATCAGGCATTTGTAGGTTATGTTGATAAAGTTAGCAGCAAACAGGATTCTATACGAACATTAAGAAACGATATTAATTATTATTAGACCCAATACTTTGAATTAAATAACAATGATTATGTAAAGGATTAACAATAAATA